CACAAACCAATACGGATTTGCCAGCGAACGATAATCCTGCGCCGGTTCCTGAACCAGCGGCATTCGGCGAAGAAGCTCTGGAGGATTGTCTTCTACATCCTACAGATTTCGTCGAGCCAAGATTAGAGTCAATCAGACTTAATCGTACTGCTGCACCGTGTATTCGTGTAAATGATGAAAATCACCTGGAAGAGAAATGCTTCGTTAAATGTTTCCCTCACGGTCAATTTGGATTGGATGAAGAGCGGGATCAACGTCTACGTCTTACAACACATGCCTACTTCCAAAATAGAGTGATGTCAACGGATTCTCGATTTCACCGCAACGATTATTTGTTCTACGCTCTATCAAGGTCTGAGGAATCCATTATTCAATCAAAAATCAACGTGTGCGGTAATATGAAATATCAAGACTCAGAAAACGACAACGCTCCAGCAGCTGAAAATCTGCATCTATATATGAGCGCCATCCGTGGTTCCAGATCGTATTGGAAAAAGTATACTGGAGATATCATGGCAATGATATCTCGGCTTGGCACACCAACATTCTTCCTAACGGTGTCATACGACGACATGGGTTCTCCAGATGTCTTAACTGCAATGTGGAAAGCATGTCATGAGAAGAACGATCCTCTTCCAAATAAGATAGAAGATTTACCATTTGAAGTTCGTCGCGAGCTGCTAAATTCAAATCCTGTCGCGGCTGCTCGTCACTTCAACCTGAGAACTCAAGAATTAATCAAATTACTTACAACCGACGTGACTATCTTTGGCAAACCGGTTGTCGACTACACATTCCGTGTAGAATTCCAGGACCGTGGAAGCCCACACCTTCACTCTCTTATTTGGGTTGACAATCCCCCTGACTTCTCCTCCACTGAAGGAATCGCCTTCATTGACAGAAACGTTTCATGCAGGTTGGAAGGAACTGGAATGGATGATATTGTACGGCGTTATCAATGGCATAAGGACACAACGACGTGTTTTAAAAAAGGTTCAGAATGTCGATTCGGATTTCCGCGACCGTTGGCCACAAAAACCACTATAAAACCTGATGAATCTAGCAGAGGTCGTGGAGTAATATTGCAACGTAAAAAAGGAGAAGAGAGGATTAATAATTACCACCCAAAACTTCTTGGCCTCCTTCGATGCAATATGGACATTCAAGTAGTAATTGGTGTCGCAGGCGTTGCATACTACATTGCAAAATATATAGGAAAAAATGAGCCGGAGACACTTCGAGAGGATATTCGACACACCTTGCAAACACTTCGCGACAGTCGGCGGCCCATCCGCGTTCAAATGCAAAAGGTAAATACTCCTTGGTAAAAGTAGTAATAATGACCAAAATTTATGACCAAAATGTGATTATGTAGGTGTCTCGTCTTTTATTGAGTCGACGAACGGTGGGCTCCCAAGAAGCTGCTTACCGCATGGTAAATATTCCAATGCGTCACAGTTCCAGAGGGTTCGTGTTCATCCCTACTTATCTTCCTGGGGATCGCATCCGGTTACTAAAAAAGAATGCTTATTTGGAGAGAGATGAGGTTCAATTTGCAAGGTGCGCGAGAATTTATATTTCGTATGTATATATATATTAACTAGTTTACATATTTACGAATTACAGCAACATTATCGATAAGTATTGCAATCGTCCCGATAGTCTGGCCAACTTATCACTTTTCGAGTTCGCTTCGAAGTATCAACCTGTACAAAATTATCAGCATGACGACGATGATTTAGATGAAGGACGGGAACAAATCCAAGAGGAAAGATCCGTTCCAGTCAGACAGCCCCCTTTCTATCTCAAGGATAGAACATTGGGAATGTGGAAGGAACGTGGAAATTTCGCAATTGTTAAGAGCCCACCCTTCAACAGCGATTCCGACCACGCTAATTTCATTTACAGCCACCTACTTTTATACGTCCCGTTCGCGAATGAGAATTTCTTGGTTGACGGTGAATCTGTCGAGGAAGCATATGAAAGGAATAAGGCCGACATGAGGACTACAGAGAATTTTCCACTTATTCGACCTGATATGGAGAAACTCCTTGAGGCCGCCGTCCTGAATGCTGCCACTTTTCGCGAAACGGACGCTGAAATTATTTTTGAGGGAGAGGATGACTTTGAACATCTGCCTGATGTTTATAACGCAAGTAATGTCCTTCCAGCTCAAGAAAATTACAGTATACCTGGCCTTAATGAAACAGATTTCGAAATAGAGGGGTCTAAAATGAATGAACATCAAAGACAAATTTACGACATGGTTAACCAACACATCACGGATCCTAGCCATGGACAATTTCAACTTTTCATCTCCGGCGCTGGTGGTACGGGGAAGTCATTCCTGATTTCTCTATTGTCCACCCTAATTCGCACCAAGGTGGGTGGTCCTGGCCTTTCAAGTTTAATTTTGGCAGCTCCTACTGGTGTGGCTGCCTTGAACATAAATGGGCAAACTCTTCATCGTGCGTTTCATCTCGCGGTTGAGTCAGGTTCGGTTCCACGATATGCTCCACTGGGTGCTCAAATGTTGCAAAGAATGCGGGACAAGTTTTCTGAAGTGGAATGGATAATCATGGACGAAGTTTCTATGATATCATACGAAGTAAGTTAACCAACAAATAATATAACAATGCTTTAAATATCTACAAATCAGTGATTTATTATTATTTTAATCTACAGGTTTTTTGGCAAGTGAGTCGTCGCTTAGGTGAATGTTATGATAACACTGATCCATTTGGTGGAAAGAACATTATAGTGGTAGGAGATCTCTTCCAACTGGAACCAGTTAATGGTCACTGTATCTACGACCAGCCTCGTCAATTAGGAGGAGAGGAACATCTTGGGCAGAAATTTGCATTTTGTGAGCTCACCCTTAATATGAGACAAGGACAAGACCCAATTCTCAATATTTGCAACAACCTTCGTGAAGGACAAATAACTTCTGCAGATCTCCACAAACTTCGTTCAAGAGAATTTAACGAGGAGACATCCAGCGTTGACATAAAAGATAAGTTTAAAGATGCAATACGGATTTACCCGACTAGAAATCAAGCAGCAGTATATAATCGACGTAAGACGACAAATCTAAGAGATGATCCGAATATCAAAGTCTACCAAATAAAAGCCCGAGATACATTCTTCACTGGAACCAAAGCTGGTACTCGTGCTCGATTGGCATACAGTCACCGGGATAGCAACAAATGCGGTGGCTTCCTACCATCTATTGAACTAGCAGTTGGCTCCAGAATCATGGTAATACGAAATTCGCAGAATAACCGGTATCTAGTGAATGGGTCGATGGGTACGGTTGTTGGTTTCAACTGGGACGAGCTAGCGAGGGACCAACATCATCAAGGAGATTTGCCATCGAGCATCAGGGTAAAATTTGATGACTTACGAATAGCTGGAACGCCGGATGGAATTTTCGACCTGAAACCGGCGGATGTAGTGTACACAGGAAAAAGAAACGAAGAAATCCAGCGGTGTATGTTACCCATTGTTCTGTGTTGGGCGGTAACGGTTCATAAAGTACAGGGGGTGACCGTAGACCAAGCAGTTATTTATTTAGGAGCGGAGATATTTGCACACGGACAGGCCTATGTTGCCCTTAGCCGAGTACGAACACTTGATGGGGTTGCCATTGTGGAGATGGACGACAACAAATTAAAAGCAAAGCCCACCGAGAAATTAGTTGTAGAGATGGCTAGGCTCCGAAGTTTGTAGTTATACATAGATATTTACATAACTTCGTACTGTTGAAAAATAAATATTTCCATTCCAACAAAACTTGATGCATATTTATTATGTTTACTATTTATGATTTAATGCATATATAATTTCACCAAAACTCTAGGTGAAAAGCGTCAAATAAGTGGGCGGTAAAACCGCTGAAAACTCTATTTTTTCAATAGTAGATCATTATATTGTTACGAAGAATTGAGAGAAAAAGCAAAAAACAAGGCGTAACATCTCTATTTAAACTTAATATGTCGCCTGAAAAAATAGGGGCAATTGCCTGTTTAATGACTTGATAAATAAGTGAATTTAATATTAACCTACTGCCATTTGGTTACTTCACAATTCAGTTTCTCCAGACCTAATTGATGTATTTTTAGTCGGAAGGCAGTTTTTAATAGCTATGTCAAAAATGATTTCAACAACAGTTTTTAAGTCATTTTAAATTATATGGATAAATAAACGCTCAGAAATGGATTGATAAAATCATTACAGGTATAAAAGGTATAACTTTGATTTAAGATATACCTACATAGGTCAATCTTGGCAATTTATATGAAAATAAACTAAACATTAAATTTACGTATTAAGTCATTGATCAAGCAATTGCCCCTATTTTTTCAGGCGACATATTAAGTTTAAATAGAGATGTTACGCCTTGTTTTTTGCTTTTTCTCTCAATTCTTCGTAACAATATAATGATCTACTATTGAAAAAATAGAGTTTTCAGCGGTTTTACCGCCCACTTATACTAGCGTTTCACTCATAAACTTAATGTGGCCGGAGCTAAATATTTATGCAAGTTGGTATCATTATGAAGTTATGCGCCCCATCATGATTGATTTGCGTATTATGTTTAGGTGACGGGGTATTAAGCAACGAAAGAAATAAAATGGTCGATGAAATTAAGGAAAATAATGCGGTTTTGTTTTATAAGTTTATTTGGAAATTTTATTAAGTATTCGAAATGTACGTAAATTTATTAGATAAGCAAGCTGAGACATAGTGAGTGAGTTGAGGCCGACCTCAACTCACTCACCATGTCTCAGCTTACGGAAAATAGAAACCATGCACCGTAAGAATGTTCGGTGGCCTGTCCATGGCTAGCTGGCCATAGTAATAATTATGTTTAAGTTGTAATAATTGATTAAATTTGATACTTGTCGATATCAGGGACAAAGCTATACATACTTCGATTATTAATTATGAGTATGAAAGAAGATAATGAATTAAGAAGAATTATTTTCAAAAACAAAAAATTACAATCGTTTGCATCTGGATAATCAATTTTATTTATTTTTCCGAAACTGTAAAGAACATGACACCTTATTTCGTACAGTCTCCTCTATTTGTACAATCAGGTAAGTCAGAACAAGGTCTGCAGTTTTCTGTCGCGAGGTCGAAGACATCGCCAACTCCTCTGCAATACCCATCCTCTATTTCCGAGTTCTTACTTTTTTGAAACGAATATTTTTTTGTGCACTTTTCTTCCGGCTTTTGTGTATACTCGCAAACGTCGGGAGCCAAGTCACACTCCTTTTCACGAAAATAATCTTCCTTCACCTTATCGTCGAGTTCATCCCACTTCGTACATTGTCCACCAGCTCTGCTACCTGTGAGTGGTTTGGTCCTATCGATCAGGTAACCTTCAGCACATGTCCCGCTCACCCACACCCCGGTGACATTTTTAAATGGATTTTCGTCTCGGTCTTGTTTACAGAAGAAATAGTGGGATGTTCTATTTGCGCACCAATCGCATTGATTGCAATCCACCTTGAATGGATTGCACTCATTGCCTAAACATTTATTTACATTTATTTTTCATATAAAATAAGAAAGTGGATTCATGTTAGAAATTTCGATGTTATTATGTATTACCGGGTACTAAAGTTCGGCAAGGTGCAGGAGACGCAGTGGAATCAGGATTCTCTGGTGTAGTTGGTTCATCTGGTTTTGGAGTCGTTACTGGTGGCGGCACGTCTGTCGTCACGTCTGTCGGCCAGGCATGGCAATCAGCATCTTTCGGCCACTCGCACCAATCTTTGGCTGGAAGGTACACCAAGTATTTTGAGCCTTGACATCCGTTAACGTTGTTCATGTCGCAGTCACCACATGCCTGAATTTTGAAATAAATTGTAAAACCGTCTTGTTACACATATGAAATATGTTTCTAGTCATTCTTGATAAGTAAATACATATGAGAATTTTGTAATAAATTGTTAAACTCGCCATATCAGCAGTGCGGCCATTGTGACACGTGATGAAGCGGGTACAATCGAACGGGTGGAGATAATTGCCGTCCGGCTTCCCGGCGCAGTTGTAGTAGGTGACGTCGTCGTAGTTGGGACGACTTCGGGGGGCAGATCTGCCTGGGTTCTCTTCGCTCTTGGCTGCATGAAATAAAATTGAAGTAATTTTTTAAAATTATTTCCGAAATATATTTGTTTTTACTAAACCTACCGGAAGCTATGGCCGCAAGTGCGACCAAAACTAGTACTATGGTCTTCATAATGGTGGTGTGTCGTGTGTCGTTGCGGGAATGATGTCCAGAATGATGAACGAAGCCTTTTATATGCAATTGCACCCCATGTTTCGAACAGTAAAGTTATCTTCGTCTGGATTAATTAAATTGAAATAATTATGCACACTCCTTAAGTTTTATGAGGGGGTGGATCATTATCATCCTTTACATACTTGCAATAAAACTACATAATCATCACATAAACATTTTTGTGTGTGGTTAGTTAACAAAATACACATGCAGATGTAACTCGTAGTTCGGTAGTTAGCACACAAACTGATAACGTAGCTTAAGTTATATGGCAGTCACTCACATAAATAACACACACCACAAACTTTAACTTTGCAGAATTGATCCTGAAAGACTTTAAGTCTTACAGATTCTACATGTGTGCTAATAATTAATGCGTCGCATTTTTAGGATGATGTACGATGAGTAATTACATGAATATTAAAATTCGCTCCATAATAAATAATATACGTAACAATTTGAATTTTCTATATTCTGTAATCATTTGTATTTTTTCTTTATTGACCTACCAAAGTCCAATAAGTGTGTGCAGAAGTCTTTTTTTTGCAGACGTAACGTCAACCTACAGGTAATTATAATATTATTGTGTAAATATATATATAGTAAATCTTGTGTAATAATTTCGCAATAAATTTTACAACCGGGAATTCTTTGTATTTCGAGGGATTAGTTCAAATAATAAACAGCTCCCGCTTGTTAACTTATGCGCACTTCTTTTAACTAGGTATAATTATTGGTTATGTCATTTTTACGATGGTTTTCCCACTCAAAACCAATTAATCCTACATAATTCTTACAGCGAAAAATTAGGGGATTAAATTAACTTAATCAATTTTTTGTCGGATGTTTCGGGTTGCCTGCCGCATATAAATACAGCTCGATTCGAACGTTCGGTATCATATCATTCCAGAGTTCTTCTTGATAAAGAAGTAGCTTCCTACTCCACAGTTAAACATGTTGACCAAGAGCTTGATTCTAGTTCTTGCCGCAGTTTGCGTTGCATCTGCAGGTAGCTATTCATTAATAAATTTCAATTCTCCAATGACTTTTCCTAAAATTTTGAAACAAAACTTTTTCTGTTCTCCATAGCTCCAGCCGATGAACCCGCAACGAAGGAGATCACAGAGGAATGTAGTAAAATAGTTGACGGTAAATTCACTTTCTAACTTCTTATGAAGACATAAATATATATAAATGGACAGAAAATGCAAATATATATAAATACACATCAATCCCCAGGCAGCCCATGCGATCCAAAAGCTGTTGACTGTGCACAATGCGATTGGTGCGAAGATAGAGTATCTTCTTACTACCGCTGTGTACAAGTGCGACCGGAAAATCCATTTAAACCAGTTACCGGGTATTGGAGTAGGGAGAATTGCACCCATGGATATCTTGTCGACCCCACAAAACCTCTCACAGGACAGACTGCCGGCGGACAATGTGTCGCGTGGGACGATCTCCATGCTGACACGAAAAAAGCTTACTTAAGTCAAGAAAGGTGCAACCTTCCCCCCAAACTTTGTATTTATGGACAAGACGAGGACGACGAGTGCACAAAAAACTACTGGTTCCAAGAAGATCCATGGGTATCCAGGGTTGATCAAAGCTGCCAAGGAGCAGGAGACGTTTTTCACCTTGAATCGGAAAATTGCGGACCTTGTGGAGATGCTTGTACTGGGAAAGGAAGTTGCTAGTGGGAACTTTGAGAGCTAGCAGTGTCTGATGCATTGTAAAAATTTAATGAGCTTCCAGCTATCTTTCGACAAACACCTTAAATTTTTCTTCTTTAACCTTCCACGCTTTTGTGCCTCAAAAAGAAATTTGATCAGTTAGGCGAAACGTGCAACAATTTTGGAAATTTTACTTAATTGATATTTTGTCGAAAATCCATGCATTAATAAACACCTTAACAGAAATCTAGTATTATCTATTCCTTTGAATATTTAAATCGAATAAATGTGACATCAATTGTCGTGAAACGCACTTTTAAACACTTTTAAACCTTTCTAAAATAACCTACAAAACGGTACGTGCTTTGATTGCTTTGCATAAGTACAATACCAAATTGTTTATCAATTCTTCTTTACTCTCTCTTACCACTCTGCTCTGCCTTTCCAAATATATTTATAATGGACAACAATGCAACGATTTCTCTAGAAATTATTTCCATTTTAACCAGGTTCACCTAAATCATAATAACGTATTTAGGAACTATCTGTATTTAATCGCTCCTAAAAAAACTGGATACTTTTATATTTAATTTGCTGTATTTATCCATGTTCATATATTCATCAAAAACCGAGTCTTCAAATTTTGAACAAGATGATGACAATTATTTACTGGACGCTCCCTTAACACCAGGATATTTAATTTATTTGGCTCGATCGGAATTAGATAGTCGTGCTAAATTAGGCATTTATAACGACGTCAGAAATGCGGAACAACCAGAGCTCGTTAATCAGTTAATTAATAAAATTTATAATTCCTAATTTGCCCAAGTTTAATTCACATTTAAATATTTCCAGATATCTGGAAGATTACAACTCCACCTCTGCTCGCCTGCTTGCGTGCAAAGGAGAAAAAACTAATAGCTGGTCAAAAGCCGTGGAAATTGTCAAAAATCCGATCGCGGTGTACAGAATGATGCGAAGATATGTTTACGTATTGAAACCTATTTGGTCACGATTGAATTCCACAAATGAAATGGGTAAATTACTTAGCACGTAACTGCTGAATATTCTTATTTTTTTAAATCGTGTCATCACCGTTAGATTTTCTTCCCAATTTGTACGGAGCCGTCACCCCAACAATTGATGATTTTTACGAGACTATAGAATCCATTCTTAATTTGCAACAATTTTATGATTTTAACCCGATGGAGGTAGTTATATGCAAAATGTGTATGTTTGTAAATATCCTAATTAAGTATTACATATTTCTTGTTTCTGCAGTTTTCACACGGCCTAATTCTAAACCTTCAGACAAATATTACACTTAATGCGACTCACACTTACGAAATAGCAAAGTACGCCTTAAAACAGAATAAATATTCTTTATCGCTGGCTTGGTTTATGGCAACAATGGAATTGAATCAGGATCCAGAAATTATTCCATGGGAAGAAATCGAGGGCCAAATTGAGACACTTGTCCAAGAAGTTGACCAACCAATTAAAAAATAAGTATCTTATTTCGCACTGGCATAAGTTCATATTCGCAAACTTTTTTGCACAGCACGACGCAACTCACGCCGAATTCGCCCACGATGAAAAGCAAGGAACTTATTATTTCCATGAAAAATTAGCCAATAACCCAAGTTCTCTACGTATGCGAGATATCCATTACAAAACAAAGTTTGGTGTACGTCCTTCCGGGCAAGATTCGTACGCCAGTGTGACAGCATATTACAATCTTATGGGAATTTGCAGTGGCGATTCATTCCTGGTATATAATTTTAATCAATTTCCTAACTCCTTTAATACATATAAACATTTACCTATCTGCAGAGTGAAACCGATCGTGCCAAATTATTTTGCAAACTATCTACAAAACCGCATCCGTTCTTCATCTTAAACCCGATAAAACTGGAGGTAAGGAGTTGGTCCCCGTATGTGGCCGTGTTTCATGAAGCCATCCCAAAATCAATCCTCGGCTACTTTTGGTCATCTACTGTTTCCCTCTTTCTCAATGCGACCAACCCAACGACGGAAATATTAAAGACACAATCTGGCGAAGCGGTCAATATTTTGGAAGATTTAAATGTTCCAGACGATCCCAGAGATGGGGTCAAGTATCGCATCAAGCCTGCAATGTCAGTAGCGCGTAAGGACGAATACATTATTAAATTCAACAATCCACCAATTAATCTGATTACGTAATTATTTCAGATTTCACGGATGAGCAAGCAGGGGAAAGATTTTTAAATTATGCCGAAATGCTGACAGCCCTTAATGTCAAGGGCGAAGGAGCAGATACGTTTCGGGTAAATCAGTACCTTCACGGAAATCCGCTGAGGATACATTGCGATCACTTGCAAGGACATAATGACGCATTTACAGAGGAACAAGGAGATAGGATTGTGTCATTTCTTGTTTTTGTAAGTTTGATTTTTTGAATACGAAAATTCATAAGAAAATTCGTTATCAAATTATACAAAATATTTTTGACAGTTGACTTCTCCCGAAGTGGGAGGAGGGACAGCATTTCCAAATCTTGGGTTTAAAGTTGAGCCTGCAATGGGAACTGTAATTTATTGGGATTCTGCACTAACTGATGGATCCTGTGATTTCCGAATGGCACATGAAGGTTGTTACGCGGCACATGGCTTGAGGTGGACATCCGTCAAATTGATTCGACAAAAGGCTAACATTCTGAAAAAGACTTGTTCGACACGGGAAGGCTATTGGAACAACGACTACTAAAGTACAATTTCGACCCTGCGTATAACCAAAACGAAGCTTGGACGGGACAAAAAGGGATATACAAATAATTTAAAAATCATAAACAAATTTTACACAAATAATTTAAACCTGCTCATTAACTTTTACTGATTAAATAAATCCGTAATTTTATTTTCGTTCTTTTACAAATATTTTTAGAGTTGTGAATGCATAACTTTATAATTGCTCAATAAGTTTGATTATATTAATTACATATGTATGTAATAAAGACGTATAAAGTTTCTCATATTCAATATTTCATATTTTATGCTCTACATTTTTCTGCATTAAACTTGGTTTAGCCGAGCCGACCCACAAAAGTTTGATTAATAATTGAGCAAGTCACGGCGTCTGGATACGGCGTCTTTATTAAAATTCAAAACTTCGAAAAAAGTTATCTATACTATAATTATTTTAATTGCCTAAATACATTTTTGTAAATGGGAACACACAATACTATCTAATTTATATGGATGTTGAAATTTTGAAGTCGAGTAGGATTACATAATTTTTGCACCAATCATTACAAATGTTAATGTATCGCAAAATATGAATGGGTACATTTTCTGGCAGTTCAAATTTTTTAGGCCAACATTTTATGATGTTGAAACGAAACTCTAGCCGAGTCAAGCCAGCTAAAAGCTCGGCTTATGAAGAGCACTAATAAATTTATCGCTACAACTCCCAAACATAAACCGCAATTTAATATTATGGAAAAACTTGGACAACTGTCATAAGATATTGAATTATGAAAATGAAATTATTTATTCCCTGAATGATCACAAAGTTTTTTGAAATACATTTGAACGACAAATTGATCAACGTCTCCTTCGTCCATGGTATGGAGGGTGTGCCCCTGTGGTGGTGAAAAAATATTAAGTGTTAATTTTTTATAAAAATTTTATAAACATACATAAAAGATGAACTCTTACCTCGACCGTAACAATAGTCCGGGCAGTGTCTCTTGAATCGAGAAAGTGTGTCCCCTACACCACCTCCATCGACTTCGTCATTACCTACACCTTGGAAATTAGAAATTCAGAAATTAGAAACCAGATAATTCAACTCCTTCTTTATAAAAATCCAGAATGAATTAAAATATCTACCTTCTTCCGCCCATGGAAATGGAATCGGTTCGGGATCGGCTGCCACCAGCACGACGGACACGACTAGGACGACAAGACAACTCAGGAGAAGCTTCGACGCCATATTTGAACTGATTTTACTTGTGTAAAGGAATTAAGATGTTTGTCTGGTGGAGCTGGGATTTGAAGTGTTTTGAATATTCGAATTATTCGCTGTTTATAAAGGAATTAAGCAAGGTCAAATAATTGAGTAAAAAGCGCTTTCATTTGTATTTTGAAACCAAAATGACGAGAGTAATCAACAGATTATAAACTTTCAAAAACAATTATGTAATCAAAAATAAGGTTGATTCATTCATTCATTTGTGAAACACAATACCAATTGTTTATCAATGAATATGTAAATCACGTAAAACAGTGAAAGTTTTGTGTCGTGTAGCAATGCCGGAATTTCAAATTAAATTATGAATAAGGTTGAAAGTTATTTTTAAGCACGATAAAAAATGCCGTAAAATCGGAAAATTTTAACCAATGGGGCAAATGATTTTACCTAAACGTAATATCTACATTTGTTAATATTATTACACGCAATCTTAAATATATAGTTTTTTTTCGCGTTGTGTATTGCTGTTTCGATTTGATCTGTACACTTGTGGTTACAGGAAAACATAAAAAGCACGTAAAATCCGACATGTATGTACATATGCATACATATATACATAAATATTTACATTAGGCTCATCATGATCTTGAAGAAATGAAAGATACCCACGTACATGAGCCAACGTACTTTGAAACTTTTAAATAAACGATGCAAATGTTAGACTTTCTCCCTGCATGCATACTTTTATAGTTTTATGCGTTTCCCTATTTGATGAGGCTACAAACTACAAAACGAGCAAACAGGTCTTTCCGAAGATTGAACTAAAATTGAAAATTCATCCCAAGAATGGACGGATATGGAGGAAGGTGATGAACCCAAAGTAAAGGTATCAATAAAATATGGAGATAAAATTGAATCCATTTCATCCCTTTACGAATTTTCCTCACAAGTCAGGACAGGAAAAGGTTATGTTTACTTTATGTTTTAAACATTTGCTTTCCGGGTATTTTTCTACATTTTTCCTCTCCCACAAAATAGATGAGCACATATTTGCATCTGCAGATGATCTGTTCTCTGCACTTGATATTTCTAGTCATACATATCTTGTTTGTGCAAGAAAATCAGATAAAAAGGAAATTTTGTTTGCTTTTGTGTATGTAAATGTATTGCTCGATGCTTTCCAACAAATTTAGTTCAGGTATCCTGTGGCATTTTAGGAATGAAAATCTGTCTCTTGGATATTTGAGATTTTTTCCACTTGTAACAATGAAGTTATGATTGTCATTAGGATAACACAGAGAACTTGTATAAATTTGCATGAGATATTGGTGACGGTTGGTTTGTGGCCGTAAAAACAGGAAAGGCTTCCAAACCAGAAAAGGGAAAGCCTCGTACGTATCAGATATCCTCCTGATCTGTGAATCTCATTCGGAATGAGGCATATTTTTTATTCCCGTCGTTGCCGTTCAAGATATTTGACTTATGCCGATAGCTCGTTTTAACTAAAAAGATGAATGTCATTATGTTTTATTTACCGGCCAGGCTATGATTTTGTGAATTATGGTCATTTCTCGTCGTCACCACTTTCCTTATTTTATACGTCCCATGTTGAGGACAAGGCCTGGTCATGAGTTCATTTTACTAGCATTTATTAAGTGGTGGGTGAATTTGGAAAAAGATGCCTTCATGTTAAGGACAGAACAGTACCATTCCTTATTTTTTGTTTTACATCCATGCTTATCTCCTCCTCCACTGCTACATATGAACCAGAGCCATAGTAAAAATTCTACATAAAATTATAAGCCTGGCATAAAATCTGGAAACAGTGAATGCCGCAATCCTTTTAGCTCTTGGTAAATTTACGACGTGATTTTGCCTAACAAAAGAATCCGAATCTGTTTTTTTTAGGATTTTATGTAGAATTGAATCGGACAGATGAATGGAAAAGTATGGAGCCATGAATCAGATCCAGACTACATAGATTATTCTGGACATTTTCAAGTGAAATTGATGCATCTTGAACCCCGTTGTCGCCCAAATAGACGGACCGAGTCAATGTCCCATCACACTATTAAATATTACGTCAAAACCACGGTGCAACCCTTCAGTCTCCAATGTCCCCTGGTCCACTACGGAAGTATAATACACCGTTTATCTCCTTCTCCTTGGATGTGCTGGCTGGATGTGAAATATTTGACCAAGAGGCTCTTGGGAGGATGAGGACTGCTATCGGAAGTAGAAATGGGATGAGAAGTAGTAAAATATTCCCTGTCCACTTAAATTTGGGGAATAAATCTACCACAGCGAAACCGGTGACTTGGTTGGTCATCATGCAATCCACTCTCCATAAAAATTTTATATCTTCCACAATAAACTGATATCAAAGGGATATCAAGATCAAGTCGAGCCATTCATCAAACACTCGAGGGAAAAGAGGAGAAAGTTTAATTCAACCCGGTCAATAATATTTTCTGCCTACATGCATTGTTATCCACCTCGTTTTCCGTTTTTGTGAGTTGCATTGTTTGCTTAATACAAATGACCGCAGGGGGAAAAAAATGGGTTTGGTGTATGTACTATGTGTCCAATCTGGGATGGTAAATAGGGCATACTTAACTTGCATAGGTTTCCCCATTACGAATGTGAATTCAGGCGTTATTATCTATTGCCCCATTTGAAGTCTGTGGTGGACATGATAATTTCCTGGCAATTCTTCCAAAAGATAAAAGTCTACCAAATTGCCGCCCAGGAGTTGAATAAGAGACAAGAAAAGACTCTGAATTTTTGGTTAACAGGTCAATTTACAAATCATAAAGATGAATTGGTCAGATAAAAAATAGCTGTAATATATTTACATAGTACAGTACACTTCTACGTCAAAAACTACAATTTCAAGAGAAAATTGAGAATATTAAGTAGTACGCAATCTTCTAAATGAAAAACCTAGCCGGGATTAAAAATTCATGGCTTTCCTTGTATTTTGTAGGTTCGTTCAAGTTCAAGAAAACCTATAAAATCTTGTTTGCTTTAGAAATTACTTACTTCTGCCGTCCCACATGTATCTCATTTCAATCATTTAATAGCTTTCTAACCAAATGCACCCGTAATTTGAAACTAATCACAACCTTTCGCATTCTATCACATATTCTATCACAGTGAAAATTAAAGTGGTTATTAAACATGGAAAGCAAAACCACTAGTGTGTACACGTACATATTACACCTCATACAATCTCCCCCAATTATAAACCACCCTTGGATTTTATTAGTCTTGCTTTACAACCCTGCCGTCGGATATTAGTCCTCTTGTACTTTCGTAATTCGAACCCACTTCCCTTCTCTCCTGTCCCATCTCATTCACCGGAATGATATGATTTCACTCTTCTCTTCTTCATGCATCAAACAACATTAAGTAAACTTTGACAGCAACACTTCCTTATTTGCTCCCAAGTTATTTAAACAGAGGTTTTGGTTTGTGGTGTGGTGTCCGTTGTCATCGTGAGTCTAATGCACACCAATTTAATCCATTCCATTTCCTTCAAGTTTTACACCCGTCGTCAACTCACTTTCTCTTCATGCAAACACACAGAAAGGGGCATCTGAATAAAACCCTGTCATGTCTGGTTAGTCAACCACTTTTCTTTCACAAATTTGCGTCTAAAGTTTAGATATGGCTTTTCGGGTTGACATAACGCCTCGTGAACAATACTCACTAATAAGTACGTTTCATCCGCCGTCCGTCGGTGGTATGGCATCAGAAGAACAAAATACTGCACAACGAGGCGCCCCACCGTGAATACATTAACTTTTATCTCTCCGAAGAAAACCCGAAACTTTAACGCATCCCATTCATTTCCTGGAAGCAGGGTGTACTCGTATCCCTGGATGATTGTCTATGTACGTCGGTCTTGGTAAAGTAAATCGGTTTGGCCTTGCTGTCGAAGGGCGGAAGGGAATATGGAGACAAATACAAATGTGTGTCAAGATACATACATTC